CTGCTGTCCACCAGAACCCCCAGGTCCCTTCAACCTGAGTAGCATTCAACTTTCCAATCCCCTGTTCATCGGGGTGGCAGATGCGGATGCCTTTGGGAATGTCGCACATCCGTGAGACCTTCCTAAGGCTCCACACCCAAGGAAGGCCACTCTGCAAACAGGCAAGATGAGCACTTCCTAACTGCATGGGGCTACATGAGTCACTGCAGATCCTGTAATTGCGGGAAGCCTTCGCAGCTATAACTTGACAAAGACAAAAATGGAAAACCAAATTTAAAAAAAAAAATGTAATTGCGGGAAGCCTTCGCAGCTATAACTAGACAAAGACAAAAATGGATAACCAAATTTAAAAAAAAAAACCATGCTGTTCCCAAACGGCAAAAAGTAATTTTCAGAGCTGTAGAGCGTGGGAACCTTTAAAAGTGTAAATCTGCTTTATCTCTCTTTAGGTCAACGTAATAGCCCTTAACAGGGAAAACCGAGATAAACAAACAAGCCTGTTAAAGAAATGGATGTCGTGTGCCTACGTGCTGATTTTAGCAGATGGGTGTCTGCCCAGCACCAGGATGTGCCTGCATCCCACCCTATGTAGGTTATAGGATGCCCTATACCCCTTCCTGGGGCAGGGGTTTCCAAGAGGGTTAGAGCATCTCCCCTGTGAGGACAGGCTGAGAGAGTTGGGGCTGTTCAGCCTGGAGAAGAGAAGGCTCTGGGGAGACAACCTAGTGGCCTTCCTTAAAGGGGGCTACAGAAAAGAAGGGGAGGGACTCTTTATCAGGGAGTGTAGTGACAGGACAAGGGATAATGATTTCAAACTGGAATAGGGAAGAGTTAGATGAGATATTAGGAAGAAGTTCTTTACTATGTGGGTGGTGAGACACTGGAACAAGTTGCCCAGAAACACTGTGGATGCCCCGTCCCTGCAGGTGTTCAAGGCTTTGAGCAACCTGGTCTGGTGGAAGGTGTCCCTGCCCATGGCAGGGGCGTTGGAACTAGATGATCGTTAAGGTACCTTCCAAGCCAAACCATTCTATGACAAGAAGAGCAGTTAATACATTAACAAAACACCTTTCCAAGTCAGGAATAGACCTTCTGAGCCTTTCGAGCATTCTGCTCCCACCAACACTCACAGGGAAGGTGGCGGAGGGGCACCCTACTTGCTCTGCAAGGGTCACAAATAAAACAGTATGCAACCAGCCAAAGTCCGTTTGCCCCCCCACACAGCCCAAGGCAATTCACTTCTCCTCGTCACCTCTCTCCAGGCAAATAGAAGCTCTATGGCACCATTCATTTACCTCTCCCAGCATTCAGGAGTCACACAAGAGCATTTTCACTCTGTGATCTTTTTTAAATCCTTTTTTTTCCCAGAGAAATAACAATCCCACAGAGATAGCTAGAAGAATCTCTTTAGTCCTGAATGGCTTTGACAGCACATGACAGGGGGAGAGATTGCTGTAGAGTTCAAGTCTCCTCTCACCAGCTCAGAAGAAAAGGGAGTGCTGAGCAGACGGCAGTCCAGGGGAGACGTCCATCCGATGCGTCTGTGCACCGAGCTATAGCGGCATCACTTGGGTGGCTGACTTATGAGAGAGAACAGTGTCATCCCATTGAGAGACTCTTTAATTAATCTGATTAATTAGGGCAAGTTTTTAACCCTTTGTTCACACCAAGTAGAACCTAGAAGCTGCAAAGCTGCCGACAGAGGGACAGGTGGGCACACGAGTTTCAGTCTGCTCCCCATGTTACATTTCTCAAGTGTGTGAATTCATGCAGAATCACAGCCTTTTGCCACGCGTAACAGTTATCGCTTTCAGCAAAAACTACTGGAGAAATCCAGCTCTTTGGTGGCTTTTTAAAAAATGTCATGGGTTTGCCAGGGCTTCCACAGTACAGATTTTCCCTGATACTTCTGCATTACCTCGTGCACCTCCATATAATATCTCAGAATTTTCTGTGCTGTTATACAATGTCAAAGATGCACGGGCATCTCCTGCTCCAGCACTGCCCAAATTATACTAGACTAGACAGGACGGCTCCTGCTTTCCATGCAGCTGGCAGGGACCTTCTGCGAGTGCCCTCATGTGCTCTGCTCCCTGAGCACCCGCTGATGGATGCTTCCATGGGTCGGGCAGGAGCTCTGTGGTGTCCCCTTGTTGAAGCATACAGCCAGGAAAAACAGCCCCCTCCTTTCCCAAGACAATGACAACTTGTTTCTTCCCAGCATATCCATGGGACAAATCCTCTTTGAAATCCATGCCAGTAGATCTGCAGCAATTTGAGAAGCTGGATGCCTATGCATTAAAAGTAAGTCTTGCTTTTGCCTCTGTCCTCCTCCCAGTTCCCCTGCGGGGACGTTGCTTGAAACCTAGCTACCAGCACTAACACCAGCTTAGTCTGCGCTATCAGGACAAGGGCTTCAAAATCTCCCAAACAAGTGAGAAACAATT